AGTTTGACTGTTACCTCTTTATACCTTGTCACCTGTAGGTTTGTTGAGTTGCTATGACTGATGCTAAGTGACATAGGTTCCTTATATATTTGACAAACAAAAGGATTTTTTGTAATCTATCTGGAGTTACTGTTTTTCACTCTCAACCAGGGGTCCAAGTCAAAAGTGATATGGTAAGGAATCACAAAAGACCCTGGATAGCCAAATCAATCCTGAACACAGAGTAATTCTGGGGGGATTACTATACAAGGTCTCAAACTATATTACAGAGCTATAGTCATAAAAACAGTAGTACTGGGACAAAAACAGACATGTAGATCAATAGAACAAAATAGAAGACCCAAACATGAGTGTATGCAATTTCAGCTACCTGATATTTGACAAAGGTTCCCAGAACACACACTGGAGGAAAGACAGCATCTTCAACAAATGGTGCTGGCAAAACTGGATCTCCACCTGCAGAAGAATGAAATTAGACCCTATTGATCACCCTGCACAAAAGTTAACTCCATATGGATCAAAGACCTCAACATAAAACCTGAAACTCAGAAACTGTTAGAAGAAAATACAGGCAGTAACCTACAAGATTTAGGTGCAGGAAATTGAACATCAGTTGCTCAGGAGTTAAGATCAACAATTGATAAGTGGGTCCTCATTAAGCTAAAAAGCTTCTGTACAGCAAAGGAAACAAGCAACTGAGTGAAGAGGAAGCACACAGAGTGGGAGAAAATCTTCACCAGTTGTACATCTGACAGAGGATTAATATGGAGAACATACAAAGAACTCAAAAAAAAAAAAAGAATGAAGAAAACAAATGACCCAGTTAAAAGATGGGTTATGGATCTAAACAGAGAACTCTCAAAAGAAGAAATAAAAGTGGCTAAGAAACACCTTAAAAAGTATTCAACATCCTTAGTATTAGGAAAATGCAAATCGAAACCACTTTAAGATTTCATCTTACCCCAGTCAGAACGGATAAGAAAACAAATGATACCAAATGCTGGTGAGGGTACAGAGAAAACAGAACCCTCATTTACTGTTGGTGGGATTGCAAATTGGTGCAACCACCATTGAAAGCAGTGTAGAGAACTCTTAAAAAAACTAAAAATAAATCTACCACATGATCCAGTTATACCACTTTTAGGCATATACACAAAGGACTCATCCTACTGCAGAGATACTTGTACAGCCATGTTTGTTGCTGCTATTTTCACAATAGCTAAGAAATGGAAGTTACCTAAATGTCCCACAAGTGGTGAATGGATGATGAAGATGTGGTACACTTACACAGTGGAGTTCTACTTAGCAGTAAGGAAAAACAAAATCATCAAATTTGCAGGTAAATGGATGGAACTAGAAACTGTTATACTAAGTAAAGTAACACAGACTCAGAAAAACAAACGATGTATGTTCTCTCTCATTTGTGGCTCTTAGCACCAAATCCTTATATGTGAGCATACATTCTGATGTAACCACAGGAGCCAGGAAAATGGAAAGGAACCATGGAGTAAAGAAGAAGAAGGAGATCAAGAGAGGGGGATAATAGGAGACAGGTATTATCTAGGGAGAAATAGGGAAAATAAAGGTACTTCAATTGGGAAGGGAGGAAGATGGGTTAGATAGGGGAGGAATAATGCGTAGGTGGTGTGAAAAACCAAAGGGAATTGTATTAGTTCAAAAGCCTACTGAGAAATACACATAATATCTGAACATGAGTGCATGTGTATAGCTGAAGGCTACATAACAAAAACATAGTGCCAGACAGGAGAAATGTCCCTTGGAGTTATTGGTCAGCGTAGTCCAAGAGACTCCCAGAATAACACAGGCTATTGCCAAAACCTTTGATTTCCTTCTAGAACTTGAGGTAAGACCCTATTGCTGAAGACAGGACATTCTTTGGACACAGGACTTGGAGCAATAGAGTTGGAGTTGACTTGGAAGTCTCCTCCCTGAAGACTAGCTCTCATGATATCAGAGGATTCTATGCAAGCTGCTAAGGGAGAAAATCAGTTAATGGTTAAACCAGCAGTAAAGCCTAATAACCACAGCAATGACCAATATAGCCAACTATCTCTTGGCATTTTTATCTTGGGGGTAATTAACAGCTATCTAATTAGACTTAAAACCCAATCAGTGGGAGGGAACTTGTACGTGGTACTGTAAACATGGTCAAATACACATGGCTGGAAAGGTCACAGATCCTAGAGAAAACCCTATGTCTGTCATATCCCTAGACAAATGGAATTTCTTACTGTATGCTAAATATGGATCCTTGTATTTACAGACAAGTATATCCTTCAGCATCCATCAAAGAAGCTTCTTTTGGCAACAGATGGGAACTTTTACAGAGTTCCACAACTGGTCAAACTCGGAGAATAAGTGTCTATGAGATGCCCAACCCTAAGTGACACATCTACAATGGAACCTTTACAACTAAGGCTCAGGGAACATAGCGGAATGGGGGTAGAGGGAGCACTAATGCATCTCTTAACTCTCACCAGTGAAGCTTCCTTATGCAACAGAGCGATTAACACAGAAGGCCCAAGCTGCCCAAAGTGTAGAGAATAAAAGACTGCAGAGTTTGTGTCCCTAGATTGAAATCCTATATTAAATCACCCACCCAGGGCTCAGGGACAAGTGTGGAAAAGGGGGCAGAAAGACTGTAAGAGCCAGGGGTGGTGGATGATCATAAGGAAACAGAGATTTTTAGGCTTCTGGGAACTTGTTCACATGAACTTAGAGCAATGGTGATAGCATGCACAAGACACAAGCTGATTCAATAAGACAAAAACCCTGCATAGAACTGGGGAAAAGGGTAAGAAACCCCAAGCTTAGTGGAGGGGCTATTGGCATCCCATCACTGCTGGAGTGAGGGACAGCTGATCTTCCTTAAGGGAGTGATGCTAGATAAGTTGACCAGGCTCCAGTAGATAAACACATTGAGGGATATCTGGGGACACAAACTTAACTAGATGGGCCTTAACACATATAACAATGCAGGAAATCTGATGGGGGGGTATAGGAGGGTGCAGATAGAGGAGGGGGTCTAAATATGATTAAGATTCATTGTATGAAACACACAAGAGTTCAATAAAAACTGTAAATTGTTTAAAAAAAACAAAACTGAAAGCAATATGGTAGTAAAAGGATTTCAGTTAAATGAGATCATGTCAGAAGAGGACTGACAGTGCTCAAGATGGGCTCAGGTGCTCCCCCAAGAAGCTGCGTATTCCTAATGTCTCAGCAGTGCTCCAGAGCATGAACCCCGAGCCAGATGCCCAGGGTTGAGTCCTGCTTAGACACTTCCAAGCTTTGTAACCCTGGGGAAGTTACTTAGGTTTTTAAGCTACAGTTTCCTCATATATGTGAAAATAAGAATACTATTTTATAGTAGCCCAAAGGGTTCCTAAAATTAGATGAGATAGTATATTGAAACCTGAAACCTAGTACCTAGTGTACAGTAAGTACTCACTAAAGCAATAGTTAATTTACAAAAAGAGAAGCCCTAGTTCTCTGAGAGGTTACTTGATACCAAATAGCTAAATGGCTTCATCACAGAAGGGTTCCATTCCAATTTTTATGAGTTAGCAGCATCACTCATTTTCATTTCATTTATTCATTAGGTGAAGATTAGCTGGTATTGGTATTGTGCACGTTAAGGTGCTTTTAAAACCAGGCTTATACTTGCAAGTGAATTGTAAAGCAAGAATAGGTACAGGGCCAGGGAGAAGGTTCAGATTGCGAGCCTGTGGTCTTCAAGCATAGGGATGTGAGTTTGAATCCCCAGCAGCCATGTAAAAACTGGGCATGCTCATACATGCCTGAACCCCAGTGTTTGGGGGTGGAGACAGGTGATCCTGAAAACTCATTGGTTCAATGAGAGACCCTGTCCTAAAGGAACAAGGCAGAGCGCAATAGAGGGGGTGCCCAGTGTCGTCCTCTGGTCTTTGCTTGTGCATAAATGGGTGCATGCAGCCACATGCAGGAAAACATTAGGTACTGATGTCATATATAGTGGGTCTTTAGTGCTCCCAGGGCCTTTACGGGGAAGTTGCTATGACTTCCAGTCATCAAGAGTCTGAAGACAGCTATCATATTTTTCTCAATCCTTTATGTTCAGTATTTATGTAGTAGGCATGTCACAAACTATTGGTGTACACACTATGGATGAGGAAAACTTGGTTTTTAAGTTAATGCTTTTCCCCCTTAGTGATAGCAGTGCTTGTGGGAAAGTATTTATAAAGGAAGCTTTATAAATTATCTAGTTCATAGAAATGGCCTTAACAGGATGCTTTAGAAAACACTGGACAGATTGTACAAATGATTCCCCACCTTCATCTTTATTTTTTGTTTTTTTTATTTTATGTGTATGCGTGTATTGCCTGCATGTAGGTAAGTGCACCCGTGTCGTGCAGTGCCCGTGGAGGTCAGAAGAGGCTGTCGGATCCCCTGGGACTGGAGTTACGGACAGTTGTTAGCTGCCATGTGGGTGCTGGGATTCAAACCCGGGTCTTCTGCAAGAACAACCAGTGTTCTTAACCGCTGAGCCATCTCTCCAGCCCTCCCACTTCATCTTTATACTGTACATTTTCTATATTTGTTTATTCCCACTTTTAAGAGAAAGTGTGGATTCTAAAATAAGCAGTGAACTCCGACTAGATAACATTTGTTTATAAAATGTCATCTTTTGTGACAAGGACTGTCCTGTTTGAAACAGCTTCAGGAGTTCAGTCTTCCTGCCCTTCATCCCTGTGAAGTCAAGGGTGTATAACCACTGGAGGCATGTGTGGCCATGGAAGGCATGCGTGGCCGATCTTTTAAGTGTGGGGCACCAGGGATAAGGTCATTTTGAAGATATGTCGTAGTCACATGCATACATTGCCACATGTCCATTTTATCGTCCTAAGTTTACTAAAATGGTAACTCTGCCTTCAGTAGAATGAGGAAAACAAAAAGGTGATGACTGCCTAAGTTCTACAAAAGCACATTGGGAGTCATGATGAAAAAGCAGGTATTTTTATTATGACGTTTCTCCATATTTGGCATTGCTGTAAATGGCTGACTAACATTTACTGCCGATTCAGTACAAATGTGTGGCTTGGTAATACCAGAACAGCGATTTAAATGAAAAGTAAAAGTTAAACATTTCCACACAAAATTTTACAGTCCGACATTTCACTGTGTAGGTAAAAAGACATTTTTTTTTAAACTACAGGTTATTCAGCATGAATAAAAAACTACAACTTTTATTTTTAAACAGGAGTCACTGGTTTTTAATTTTTACACATTTAAAAATTACTGTGATAAAAAATAATGAAAAAGCTTAATAATGCCATACACAGTATAATATAGATTTGTCCCATTATATAGCATTTGTTTAATATACAAAATAGAATATGACACACTTAAATCTATATGTAGTTAAGCAGGTTATTTGAGGAGGGTATTTTCATACAACCATTTATCAGAAAATAAAATTCTTTCAGACATTTTCTAGAGAGAAGCTAACCCTTTCCTGAAAACCTGGCCACTAATCCTGATGGACCAGGCTGATTGAAAATAGTCTGGAAAATGATAAAACTTCCATCCAAAGTGGTTTAAAGTGTCTTCTGCAGACTTTTATTTTGCCTTCCAACACTGAAACCAGGCACATTAAAGAACACATTCAACTACAGCTTATTGTTGGGGTAAACAACCAACATCAAAATCTCACAGAAGGCTACCATGATTCTTGAATTTTGACAGATTGAAGTGTAACAATATTGTTCATTCTGTGATATGGTTTCAAGGTGCTTAAGCAGGAATATGAATAATGAGCCCCAGAAGGCTGGGACTGCTGACCCCTTCCCTGTGCTGCCTTGTGCTGGCTGGCTCTCTCCCTGTGCTCGTTACTGAGCGCTTCACAGACCCTAAGCACGGTGTTCCTTCTAAGGTGCTTAAGATGCTAGCTGTCGTTTTTCCTAAGGGAAGGCAAGCGCTTCTTAAGCTCCTTTCCCACAGTTCTGCAGCTGGGCATGTGTACCCTCGAACTGTCAAGGCCTGTTGCCTCAGTTCTGCTATTACAGTATCCCATATTAATGCCTAAAAAATACCAGAAAATTCCTTTTTCCCCACCCATAATTAAAGATGCTTTTTAGGATCTGCTGTGAGTCACATAGGCATGTCACCAACTCTCACTGAAGTATCAGCCTAAACAGTTTGAAATGGTGTGAAACCACATACAGAAAGTGAAGCTGCTTTCAAAGGTACCGTGTCTCTTTTCACTTGTATTCACGGAACTTTCTTCTGTCCCACACACTCTGAAGGAGTACAGCTTTATCCATTTAATGGAAAGCTTCTTGTAGTCTGATGAATGTCTGTTGCCTTCTGTTGAAAACAAAGTGCATATATCCTTTTTTATTGAGCTCTGTTTCTTGAGAGTCAAGACTGTTAGGACTGAAAGGAGATTAATGTGTGATGTGCTTTCTAGTTTTAACCATATAACATTCCATAAATGAACAGCAGTCTACTTTTGAGAAGCTCTTTTTGAAACTTAACACTGTCATTGATAATATTCAAGTGGTATTTCTTAGGCACCATAAATTTCACATCCAACTGGGTTTTAACTATCTTAAAGTACTTTGAGACCAATTTAAACATTACAAAGTGATCATTCCCTTTTAGAGAGCATTCAAAAAGCAGATGATTACATTTCTTATTAAGTAATTTCTGCAAAATACTGAAAATAACAACATTCAAAAAGCATTCAAAGAAAACATAAACATGTCCTCATTTTACTTGGAAATGAACTCTTGCAGGATGGAAAGGAATTAGTGTATTATTGGCATCCTATGGGATTCTGTACTATTTACATATTGCTGGTACCTCTATGCATATTATTGCCAAACTTCTAAAGCCTCTGTTTCTGTTAATCTGTTGGACAGGCTGCATGTGAAAATAACCCTGCTATTAGATGGTGCCTAGGATGCACCACCTTTCTGTCCTGCTTACATACTTGAATGCAAGGGGGAAATTTAATAAACTAATCTTACACTGACAGACTCACTGTTGAAATAAGGGTGGTCAGAGTGGGAGGCAGGGGCTTACTTCCCCTGCTATCTGATTGGGTCAGAGCCTCAGCAACCTTCACTACACACAGGGCCAGTCTACATCTCGCTTGTCCCCACCTAGAGCAAACCTGTGATTTCCAGGACCACTGATGCCTGTATGGATACTTGTGCACACTATAAATCATATAGAATATCCATCAACCTTTCTTTGACCCCTACAAAAAATATATAACATGTCGTGATAAAACAATCTCATCTAAAAATCATTCTTATTTTACACTATACAAGCTATTTTACAATCATTTAATAAATTGCATGTAAAGCTGCAGTAGCCCTTCCCTTCCCAGATTAGTGAATACCAATATGATATATACCTGAAACTATAACTAAATATAAAAATATATTAGAAGTTTCATATTTTTAATATTAGATTTTTCAGTTTTCTATTACACAAATAATTTGGCCACCTTAAGTAGAAATCAAATTTCCTGTGGCTTAGTAAGTATGTTAAGCTTTGAGTTTACAGAAAGTTGGTAAGGTGCACACAGAAAGGGCTACCACAGCTTCGGCTTTGTTTACAACGGTAGTTCTCAGTGTGAAGAAGTTCACAAGACTCATGTAAATTCTATGGCACATGTAGGGATGTATAGTTGTACAAACATGGACACCTGACATTCTAAATCATTAAAATCAGTAGCTGAGCTTTCCTGAACCACCAGGAAAGATAAACCAATTGGTGACAGGTGGGAATGTGAAAATGGGTGTTTGGCCACTGTTGCCATATTAGAGATTTAGTTTGGGGGTACAATTTAGTGAGAGAAATTACTTGGTCTGATTAAAAATCTCTTAGCTATTTCACAGCTGGTTATTTGGAATCAAAAATTTTAAGGAGTTACATAAACAACTACAGGAGGTCCTCAAAGTTAACAAACTTTGTTGTCATCTAACCACTGTAAAGAATGGGACACTAGGTGGAAACTGGGCCTCTTGGTAATTATTTTTGTAGTCTTTTGCAACCATCATCCTTATCTTCCCCAGCAGGGCACTGGACTAGGTGCTCTATACCAGTTAGGATAGTTAATCTGTACAACCTATGTAATTCTCCATGGAAGCAGATATTACAAAATAAGAGCTTTTTCACAAGAATACTGGAGATCTGAGTCAATTTTTGTGATCTTCTGATAGCTAAGTGCCATCAGGGTAGAAGCACCAACCCATTTTCACACAGAAGATTAATGTTCGGCATTTAGGAAAGCTATGAACTAGCTGCCTGTCTTAAACAGCTGTACAGTGACTTGAATACAAAAATTATTTAAGAAAAAATGAGCAAGCGTAGTTCACTGAATATAAAGGAAATTGTTAAAACCAGACAGTAATAGCTATAAAAGGCACAACTTTCCTTTTCTGATATACACTTGTAAACTTTTTTCAGGTTTCCATGCATAACTCAAAAATGTTATCCTAACTATACATGGGAAAAATACACCAACAGAAAGTCTAGAAAGTTCCATCCAGCCAGTGAAAAGAGAGCAGAGCGTCCATAAGACTCGGCACTGGTGGTTTAGGTGCCGCCCTTCTCCAACACTGGACACCACCTCTGCGCCACTGGTTTCTAATGCTGGGACATACCAACTAATACATTTCACCGTGTGCTGTCCCGTCACCTAAAAGTGATGACCCAAGTGCTTCATTGCCAAGTCTTGGCCCTCTATAAACCACATGTAGTGCGTATTTAAAACAAAACACGACAAAAAGAATGACAAAACCTCTACAAGACAGATTGATAGTTTGTACAGTAAAAGCTATAAACTCAACTTTCTTTAAGGCAATCTTTCTTAAGTAAGGCAGTCACTTTTGATGAAACAGAAGTTTTTTGATATTTCCATTTGAATATTTTGGTATCTGATTAGTGATGATTTCAGCTAACATCTCTGGGAATTCAATACTCATGGTCTTATCCAAAAATGTTTGGAAGCAATAGCTCAGGAGATTCTCAACCACCTGCAGGAGGAGATATGGCAATGGTTAGGCTTCAGAACTGAGCAGGATGAATGTCACGCTTGTTGGCTTCTTTTAAAAATAATGCCTGACCTAAAATACACCAATTTTCATTGGAATTCCCCAGATTAAAAAGTAGTTAAGTAAGCACTTAAGTACAGAAGACATTTTAAATTTCTTATACTGTGTGTATAATGAAAGGCAGGCACAGGGTCCCGTGCCTGTAATCCCAGCATTTAGGAGAGTGAGGTAAGAGACTCAGGAAGATTTTGAGTTTGAGGCCAGCCTGGGCTAGTACTAAAATATAGGAAGGCCATATTAGCCTAATTTAATGGCTCATTCACATAATACCAGGGGGTTCTGCCTTTTAAAAATAGTGCAGTTAAATTCTATACTGACATTGTGGATTTTTAATGCAAATGACAATAATATTTTATAATCAGGAGAAATGTGTGCAGAATTGAAGCTTACAAATTCAACTTGAACCATCACTAAAATCTACAAAGTAGGGGAGGGATGTAACTTAATAGTATATATTTATGTACAAGACATCAAAACATACTTTATGTCCCATAAAATTCTTGTTATGTTTTTCTTTTTCTTTTTTTATTAATTCATTTTGGTTTTATGTTTAATACTTACATCATGCATGGAGTCCAAAAGTTTTGTCAGTTGATAAAACCGCTGCCAGTTCTGACTGGAGTTTCCTTCCCTTTTGACAATGGCTTTTCCTAGCTCTTTGATGTAGGTCATTCTGATTTCATCAAATAGCTCTTGGCTCTTCAAACCTTCCTTAGGAACTACAAGGATAAGATAAAGTCAATTAACAAATCTCTGTGCTATACTTTCAAACATCCAACAGGACATTTCACGGCAAATATCACTGTTTCACTTTCTGCATGTGTTTAATGTGTTCATATATATATATATATA